ACCACCAACCACTTATCTGTTTGCTTTTTTGGAACGCAGTGGCGATGCAGGTTCCACTCCCGGTTCCACTCACCAGGATTCGGGAACCAAAAAGAGCTACATCGCGCTACGCGCTAGCAAATCCTCGGGACACAGCTCGGACACAGGGCCAGTCACAAGCTGGTTTGTGATCAGAACACTATAGATAATATATATAGAATAATTAGTTGCTATATCCACCATATGTCCAAACCTTAGCTTACTTTAAAACCAATGGAAACCTATCATAAATCACATCACGTTGTCCCCATGTTTGTTCTCGAAATCCAAAGTTTCCCTTGATGGGTAAACCCATGTCAATCCCAATCTTCCCTTGTTGTTCCTGGAAAAACCATGATAAATCCCTTTGAAATCCTGGTTTTGGTGGGTTTTTCATCCCTTTTTTCCGCCCAAAAAAGGCCGAGTTTTCCATCACGCGCGATCCTGCCCAGGTGGTCTCTGGAACATCTCCCATCAACGCACATGGCACGGAGTGCTTCAGCTCCAATGGAGGTATTTCTGAGTCGGGACCGGCTGGAAAACCTAGTGATGGTTGATTGAATGTTGATAATGGTGATGATCTTGATGTTCATGGTTGATTGAATGTTGATAATGTTGATAATGGTGATTGAATCATCCTGGTGATGTTTTTGTTGCTGGGAATTTGATTGTTATTTATTTTTCTTCAAGGGAGATTCTGAACAGCTTCAAGCCGTTTCTTTTGGTGATCGGGTGATCGGTTTCTCGTGAGTTGAGGCTTCGATCTTTCAAAGTTGCTGTGGAGTATTGTGGAGTATTCACTTTGAAGTTTCTATAGTCATGTGAGACATGTGAGTCATGTGTGTATTTGTGGCCAACTTAGATTGATGATGACTGTATTCCAATTGTCCCGTGCATGGATCCACATGAAATCAGTGCACTCTCCATGTTGAAAATCGGATCGCAGTAAGATTGTGTTGTGCGCAGTGCTAAGGGCCATGGTGTCACGTCTTCCGCGGGGTATTTGAGCAACTGACAGGAGAAGGCAAGGCACCTTCTAAGGAGAACTGACGGGAGAAGCTCTGTCGATTCTATTGGTTGACTTCAGAACTTCTTGATGGTTGACTGTTGATTCATGTTGATCCTTGTAAATATAATATATATATATGTAAATATACTGTAATCATATTGTTATAATCCCTCCCCGACTCATATCAAACACAATGCAAACAAAATCCTGGTTTAGTACTTGATCTATTCATTTTGGGGGCCTATATGGGATTGTATTTGATATAAGGAGGATGCGATTATAGTGATGAAGGGTCACCACATATAATCTAAATCCCAACAATGAATAAACGACCATATGTGGTGAGTTGGCTGTTGTTTGCTTAGGAAATGTATCCAGGACGATTTGTGTTGGGCTGGTGGTTTGGAATTCCAACCTCTGTGAAAGTAATTATCATGGCACGAGGTACTCCACAAGAATTTATAAATCTTTATGAATGGTGCTCGAGTCTTTTTCATTCCCCACAAACCTCGAAATCAGCGAAATTACACAAAAGAACTCGGACATGGCATTCATCAACACTTCGACCAACTGAAGGACTTATAGCAGTGAGGATCACTTGAAGAATGGCCGCTGGTACGGAATCTGCTCAAGGTTCGGTTAAATATGTTTGGCGAACGGTGGCTTGCACTGCAATTATCTGGATGGTGATTTTAAAGAGTGACATTAATAAACACACATGACACTATTCGTTTAAACACCTTTATCTTCATGACATTGTTTATCTTTTGACTCTTTCCATCTTCGCTCAAAGGCTTAGCTCCTCCTTTAGCTTTGGCCGAAAATGGGACAACCCCCGGAAATCAAATTGGGTTACTGTAATTTTGTCATGATAATAGGTTAACGAATCATATATACGTATATAAAGGTTTCTATTGTTTTGGAACTTCTGCATCAACTTTTAGAACTCCAACATATAAATCAAACATAATAAGTTATAAGACAAGATATATCAAGCTATCAACGGGATCGAATATCCAAACTGTTGGGTGGTTAAGCAAAAAAAACATGTTCGATTCTAAACTATGAAGCATTGTACACAACCAAAACATACCAACATGAATCAGAAGTTTGTTAATCCTGGGTTAACACTATCAATGCAGATTTTCCGATTACCCTCATCAAATCCCCATTACATCCAATTGTATTCCCATGATACCACTATCTTTGATGGTTGGAACATGATTAAATGATTTTTTTCCAATGACAAAGCGGGTATCGCCATGAACAGCAATCATCCAACCAAAGCACAGTTATGGCCCTTAACAATCATAAATGGGATTATTTCATGATATAACCAGCTACCCTCTGGTAATTTAACGTAGCTATTGAAAATGGCCCAGTCAAAATAGTGGATTTTCCCATTAAAAAATGAATAAACATGGTGATTTTCCATAGTGTTAGTTTACCAGAGGGTAGTTACAGGAGTTCGTTCCTTCATCCCATTTATTTCATGTTATATAAGCGCCATACCCCTGGGCTACCCACATCCAACATCAACAACTTGTTGGCCAAAGCTTCCAGTGGACAACCTCAGAGAAAGACACGGCTTTTGTTCTTGAAGTGTGGGGATATATACCCTCTGGTAATTTAACATAGCTATTGAACATGACCATTTATAGTGGATTTACCCATTGAAAATGTTGATTTTCCATAGTTATGTTAGTTTACCAGAGGGTAAACCAGCAGAAACACATAAGAACAAAAACAGCAGGTGACCAGGTGTGCCATGGCCGGTTCCTAATGTGAACGACAATTTTCTTGTTTGACACATGAGGAAATTGGATGACAGTGGTTGCATCAAAATCCAGGTTTTGAACATCAATGATTTCTTGAACATCTCAAAATGTTGAAAAATCATGATTTATCATGAATGTGGATATTAAGTCCTTCTAGGGCGCACGCACGCTCACACACATATCCTTAATTATTACCCCTACACATTCCAATCACCACACTCTCCTTCTCTCATCATTATCACAAGTAGTACTGACATATTTCGTGTGGTCCAACAGCAGTAGATAGCAGTAAGGGCTTTCACCAACATATTCAGTTTATGGTTTTTGATCTTAGGAACTTCTGCTGTTTCCATTAATGCATCATCACCTTCAGCCAATGTCAACCAGCGACTCTCGAGAGTATAACTTGGACTTGGATATTAAGGGAAATTCTACATGGCTTGAATTAGATAACATGCGTTGACTTCCATTAAAGCACAGGGTCTACTCATCCACATTTCCAAGCTTTTGGCAAGCACTACTCTAAACAACAGAACGATTCTGATTGAAACCGGAACTTCCGGTTGCCATACTTCTTACAAGTTATTGCCCTTAGCAGTTACAAATGGGATTAAAACTCCTGCAGCTAAGCTTATACATCACTTAAACAAGAAAAATTCGAACTGGTTGGCATTCTTTTTCTGACTGTCTCCAGAGGTGGCATGCACCGGAGCAAAGGGAGCGTCCTAGACGCGGGGCAGGTATCTATCTAGACCTTCAAAAAATGTCAACAAACATGTGGGTAAACATACCAACCATGTTTTTTGGGAAAGAAACAAGCAATGAAATAATTTAAGGTCAAACCGCTCATCATAAAATAACATTGTTTCTTTTTCAGGTATAATTTACTTGTGAAAACAACATTTGGTCTATGAGCCAAGCAAGCAACAGTCGATCAAAGGACAACGAAAATCCCAAGTAGTTGGTTGGGGATGGTTTATTATATGCTTCACCGCATTGTTTTGTTCACCGCATCCACTTCGCCATCTCCAGAAAAAGAAAGTCCCTGCTCTGATCTTCACCGCCCAGCGAAGTCCAGTTACCATCTGATTATTTGTTACAGTTCGCCATGGAAAATCACAATGTTTAATAGGCAAACCATGTATTTCTATGGGCCATCTATACCCTGGCTATGTAACAAATAACCAGAGGGTAATTGATTCGTCTAGATTGCCATGCGGCTATGCGCAATTCAACCCCACGGCCCCAAAGGCATATCTCCCTTGGCTGATTCCGTAGCATGGAAAATGGGAAGGTGCTACGTCGGCACCGCAGCTGCAACCAGCCCAAGGTTCCTGAAAGTCTTGAGTCTCACATGATCATCTATTAAATACATATATTGGTTGGTATGAAAATGAAAATTGGTGCCCCAAATTTCGATAGTTAACCATCATTTTCATTATCATTAAATGGCCATTCAGGCTATCCCCTATTGCCAGACAGGCCCATGTCTTTGGCGATACGGCTGTGCTCATTGGATTGGTGGGGAAAACCATGGGAAAACCATGGGAAAACCTATAGATTCTCCCTTTAAACCAATCCAATGCACATGCGCAACATATGTTTAACGCATATGACTTATCTTATATGACCAATATATATATATATATATTTATATTCATATATACATTTATTTACATATAGTAAGATAGATTCCACAATGGTAGAATACGATCCATGATGAAAACTTGTCCATATGGATCCGGCGGGTTGAAATTCACATCTCCAGAAATATCGATCGTGGTGACATAGAATGTGAGGCCCCCGTTCGATATGTGAACGTTGGTTTAGATTCGCCCCAGTAGCTAGTTCGTTATAAATACCGTGACATTGGCCCCAACTTAGCTATCGAGCGGGGGCCTCACATTGTAGGTTTGACATGAATCCATTTTGAAGGGGAACCACGGTAGGACCGGTAGGACTTGGGGTTGGCCTCCCTTTTAGGGAAGCCAAAGCCACAGTCATTCGTAATTCGTCATTGCACTCTGACATTGGTTGGTGGCTTCAAGCAGTTCATATCCCAAACAATGAAGCACATAACCAATAACTGCCCATGTTTTCTTAAATCCCAACATGCGGAATGCGAAAACACTCATTCTGGATTCTGAAAGTAGACACTAGGACTACAAAAAACAAAACAGAATCCCAAAATTCAATTCACAAGGTGCCACTTCAAATCACTTGAACACAACCACCGTTTTTCTCTGTACGCCCAAAAACGGGTGTCACGGGCGCGCCGTGTCCCCCACAATGGCGCTGCCGGCCCATCAAGCGTATGAACCTTTCTTTTGCATCTCCTGGAGTGGTTACGCTCTGAACTGCTGGGCTAACCTTGGAATCTTAAGTGGAAAATAGGTTTGTCGTGGTTTGTCTAAATCAAAACATGTGGGCATACCGCCAAATTTCTGGCCATCGACCAGTGGGAAGAACATGATGCTTCACCAGTGGGTTGCGTTTTTTTTCCCTATTTTGAGATACCATCTGGTTATGACTAACAGTTTGCCATGGAAAGATCCACCATTTTTAAGAACGGTGAAGCATCTATACGTGGGCCACCTATACCATGGCGGACTGTAACAGTCATAACCAGAGGGTAAATCATGACAAAGTCATACATTCTGCCGACCAGGGCTGGACACACCTCAATCCTGGTGCAACCGTTTGCTGTATTTTGCTCACTGGTGGATCCATGTTCATTCCCAAACCATTGAATCATATTGAATCTTTGGTGTTTCTACGAATTCTAGGTATGCCCTGCAGGAAGAGTCCCACTAGGCCCTAGATAGGTGAGTACATTTTTAACTAGGCGCACGATTGGATTTATCATTACCCTATATGATGTTATGCGATATGTCCATGAATTCTATATGTATATCTATCCATCCGTCCATCCGTCAATCCATCCGTCTATCTATCATATCAATATATATATATATATATATACATATCAATATCTATATCAATATCAATATCAATATCATTCAATATCTATCTATCTCTATCTCTCTCTTCATGATATGTTTCACGATATCTCCTGCCAGTTGGCTTCAAAACCTCCATGCGCTCCTTGGCTTCGGCGATGATATTGCTGAAATCCCAATCCTTCAGTTCCTGCAAGGTACCAACCTGCATCAAACATGTTTTTTGAGCGTCAAAAGTGAACGAAAAAAAAAACATGACGATTTCAGAGTTCATTTTTGGGATTTCATGGTGATTTCATAGGGAGTTGCATGGGATTTCATGGGAATTTCAGGGTGACTTTATAGGATATTTTAATGGTGACGTTATAGGCATAGGATTTCATGGTGATTTGACGACCCGACCATTTCTGGGTGATATTCAGGGTCTCTGCTTGAAGGAATGGTGACACTGTAGGAATCATGGGAATTTGAGAGAAATGGTTTTTGTTCCTCACAAACTGGTTGGTGGTTGCAACCCCTCTGAAAAATAGTCAGTTAGGGTCATTATTCCCAATAAATGGAAAAATAAAATTCATGTTCCAAACCACCAATCAGCAAATACCTAGGAAACCGAGTACATGGATTTTTCATGATTTTTCCATGGAGAGCCCTAAGATTGTGGGGCACAGGCAATTTTTTGTTTGACATGACCATCATCCATCATGGTCGTCCGGGTTCAGTCAACACGCATAGTCCCCTTGCCAACATCGCGCCTGACGGTACTTCTCAGTGAAATGCTTGTACCATCCTGGCAGCGCTGGCGATGACACAGACATCTGACACCCTGTGTCCAAGGGTTTTTTTTTCACTTGCGTGGTATGACAAATCTGTCTCTAGTAGTTTTTTAAAAAACATTAATAACTAAATCTAACCATCGCTGTCCATTCCCACATGTGATTGTTGTCCCTTCATACCCCTCCATGTGAGCCACATCTTGTCTATCAAGCAACCAATGGTTGGTCAAGAATAGGATTCCCTGTTCATGGGCCACACATCATTTCTCGAACATCCCGTCGAGCCACACCACAGTCACCAGAGTGTTTTTGGCGTACATTGCCTATTTGAAACCGTCCTTTTTGCCTTCAAATTTGAAGAGTTTGTCAATTTGGCCTATATCAAAATGGAAAACCATATAGACTGTGAACCATTTTAGAGTCAAATCCCTCTATTGGTCTATATTCGGCATGTGAATCATGGTGAAATTCCCATTGAAAAACCATATCTGACCCATAGAAATAGATGATTCTCCCAGCGACATCAACCTCCATTTATGGTTGGGATTTTCCATGGCGAACAGTTAGTCATAACCAGAGGGTATCAAAATGGATCAAAACATGGACAAATTCCCATTGCCCTGGATCCACCGGGCTCGCCTGCCAAGGACTTGAACTGAAGTTCCTCGAGCTCCTGGCGAAAAAAACCATACTATATTATATTATATTAAATTATATTATATTAAATTATATTATATAAAATAAATTATATATATTATATACTAAAAAAATATTATATATTATATATTATATATTAAAAATTATTATATAATATAAATTATATACTAAAAATAAATATTATATATTATATATTAAATATATTATATATATTATATATATATTTATATATTCAATATTGTAAATTATAAATTATATATACAAAATACATTAAACCATATATATTTATATACAGTTTATATACTAAATATTATTTATGAAATATTATACATTATATATTATATATTATATTATAGATTAAACTATATTATATTATATTATATTAAATCATATTATATCATATTATATTATAATATAAAAATATATTTGTTATTATATATTATATATATACACATACATATACATACATATATATATAAATAGTATATAGTATATATATACATACATACACAAAACAACAAGTTCTTCACGATGAGGTATCACTCTTTACAAATTGCGAAGAAACCCTCAAAATATATGTGGATACTGTAGGTGAAAACATATTTGTGTATATATATATATATATATATGTATCTATATATATATATATGTATCTATATATATATATGTATATAATTGTATATATATATATATGTATCTATAAATATATATATATATATATATTATATGTGAAGAACTTTATTTTTTTAACCTCCAAGCCATCACACAAAATCTCGCTTTCGCTCAATTCAAACATGAAATTTCTGCATTGTTGACGGGTGGCAAAAGCCAACAGCTCGGTATAAACAGTATAACATGGGATAACTAACAAATTATAGCTTAGTGTCAGTTTTGTTCGACTTGCTTGTCACTTGCACTTGAAAGAGTCAGCTGCTTGCAGCCCGTCAAAGGGTCATCATGGGTGAATCATGCCACATCTGTTTACATTCCGGGAGGATGTGTTTATAGTTGAAAACACAACACATTCAGAACAACAGTTTTAGGTTTTCTATAGGGAAGGGTCTATATATGTTGATTCGACTTCTTTTAAATGCATGTTCTTTCGTTGCAGAATTCTTTCTTGTGCACCACTGTGGCGCCCAGCCTCCAACTTGAAATCTAAACGATTGGCATCCTCAGCTTTCAAAGACACCTCAGTTCTCTCAGATCGGGTCAATTCACCTGGGAAAAACACATGCCTTTTTGGATCCGTCAATGGGCTGCTAATGCTATACCGACACATGGTGAACACACCATATCCATCGGAGACTTCCCTCGGATTCCACACGGTGTGTTTCATATCCAATCTCATGAGTTGTGTCCCTGTTTCTGTTGATGGCAAAAACAAAACATTCGCAGTATTTTGGCTGGATAGTTGCATTCCATGTCTGATTGGTCATACACCCAGTCCCATTGTTTGACTACCAATTGTTTGTTTCAAATCCTGATCTCTACTCTACTAGTCAACCTACCTGTCATTGCACTGCGGTTCAAACTTGGAGGAACACTGGAACCACCAACCACAAATGTGTTCTTTTAATAATAAGTCCGACCAAACCATCCAGTGCCCCACAAATCTCATACCAAAAAGCATGTGAAACCGGGACAAAAAAACAGTATAAAAGGTAGCTGAACACGTATTTAGACTAATGTAAATGTAAGAATTTAGACAAATAATCCACTAAACATGGCGTTTTTCCGTAGCTACGATAAATAACCAGAGGGGATCCAATCATTACTGAATACAGATAAAAACACATTCAACAAGACACGTGGATCTCAAACAAAACATCTCGAAAATGACCCAGGCAGCTGGCTGTCGCCATCGCCCAGGTGCAGTCCTCTCAAGGGATGGGTCAAGTCGATACCCTCGGTACATCATGGTACACCAACTTGGGGGGGTATACCGCAGGAGTATAATCAATGGGAATTTCAGGATCTAAAATGGAGGTACGTAAACGTACCATATTTTTTGCCAGATTTTCTGGGGATATTCCCTAAAAAATAGGCCTCAAAAATAGGCCAAACATATATGGAATCGGTACCTCCAATCAATCGCTTCCTGAGATGGCCATTGATATAATTACAATGTGAGGCCTCCAAGATAGCTAAGTTGGTTTATAACTCCAATAACTATGGTTTATGGTACTTATAACTATAGTTACTGGGGCTTATAAACCAACTTATATCTTGGGGGCCTCACATTGTACCCTTCATAAACCTCAAGGATGGGGATTCATCATGATTCATCCAAAAGAAACTCATGGGGGCTTCGGGTTTTTTGCGACGGTAACCGGGGTTTTTGGCTACGGTGCAATGCTAGAAGGGTTTTTTGCGACGGGGAATGCCAGAGGGTTTACTGCGACGGTTCAGAAGGTTTTTTTGCGACGGCTAGGGAAGTTTTTTGCGACGGTGAACGAATAGTGAAAGTTTTTTGCGACGGGAAGTGGAGTTTCGTCGGTGGAGAGGTTTTTTGCGACGGCTAGTACTACTACTACTACTACTACTCCTACTCCGACTCCTACTCCTACTCCTACTCGTACTCCCACTCCTACTCCTACTCCTACTCCTACTCCTACTACTACGACTACTTCTACTACTACTACTACTACTACCACTACCACTACCACTACCACTACCACTACCACTACCACTACCACTACCACTACCACTACCACTACCACTACCACTACCACTACTACTACTACTACTACCACTACCACTACCACTACCACTACCACTACCACTACCACTACGACTACTACTACTACTACTACTACTACGACTACCACTACTACGACTACCACTACGACGACGACAACGACGACGACGACGACGACTACTACTACTACTACTACTCCTACTCCTACTCCTACTCCTACTCCTACTCCCACTCCTACTCCTACTCCTATCCTACTCCTACTCCTACTCCTACTCCTGCTCCTGCTCCTGCTCCTGCTACTGCTACTGCTACTGCTACTACTACTACTACTACTAATAGTACTACTACTACTACTACTACCACTACTACCACTACTACCACTACTACCACTACCACCACTACTACCACTACTACCACTACTACTACTCCTCCTCCTACTACCACTACTACTACTACTACTACTTCTTCTTCTACTTCTCCTACGTCGACTATTATTACCAGCTGGTAGAACTAGTACCTGGCTCTGCGAAAGGAGGCGCAACGTTTTCTGCGACTCATGCCGCAACTAATTGAGACGCAGCACCACGCGCAGCCGCGCAACATCACACCTCGTGCACAACCTCCGTAACACCATCTTGCCACAACAGCACACAAGCAAGTCAAGGTCTATGAGCGGCTCTTGGCTTCCCACTCGAGGTGGTACTGAGCGTCTCTGCCACGGCTCTGCGAAAGGAGGCGCAGCGTTTTTGCCATTTCGACCCGCCGCAACGAGTTTAGACGCAACATCACGCGCAGGAGGGCCGACGATGACGACGACGACGACTCCTCCACCTCCTCCTCCGCCTCCGCCTCCTCCTCCTCCCCCGACTCTGCGCCACTGATGCTACTCACTGTCTGCCACCCACTATCCACCCTTACCCGGCTACTACCGATCATGTTGCACCCGTGCGACCACTGCCACTCGTCGCTCTCACTCGTTCCTTGCGCCCGCCCCAACCGCCTCGACGACTCCTCCTCCTCCTCCTCTTCTCCTCCTCTTCCTCCTCCTCCGCCCCCGCCTCCTCCTCCCCTTACTCTGCGCCACTGATGCTACCCACTGAACTGTCGCAAAAAACCCTCGCTGAACCGTTGCAAAAAACCCTTCTCCATGGAGACCGTCGCAAAAAAACCCCAGACTTTCTCGTAAAGTTGCAACTGTTTGGAAAAGCCCCTGTTACTGTCGCTAAAAACCCCCTTCCCCAGAAGAAACATAGCTGATACGGCTGATCTGGTTGGTGGTTTCAACCTACCCCTCTGAAAAATATGAAAGTCAGTTGGGGTGATGAAATTCCCACTATATGGAAAAATAAAAAATGTTCCAAACCACCAACCAGTGATAGATTGATAGCTTAGTTGGTTTATAGTTTTAACTAAAAAGGGGCTAAAAAAACAAGCCACTCATAAACCACCCAATCGACTGGGAATGGTTGGAACACTATACCACCTATAAAAATGCTGATGACTGGGGGATGGTGCAAATGGCATTGTTTTACCCACATTAAAGCAAAAGGATCTGGATGCCCGCAGGTCCGCAGGTTTATATGTTTGTTGGTTTATAGCCTCATGAAGTAGTTCGCTGTATGTATCAATGGGAATTTCAGGATCCTAAAATGGAGGTACTGTACCATATAAGACCATGTTTTCGTGGGATATTCCCTTACATAGCCCTTACATAGGCCTTATCGAAGGAAATTTAGAAGTCAAACTTCCGACAATATGGACAGATGAAAAGCAGAGCAGGGCAGAGGCAAAGAGAAGAGAAAGATTAGAAGAGAGAAGAGTAGAAAGGGAAAGAGTCAGAAGAAAGAAGATGCAGATGCGCGAAAAGGTAGGAAAGTCTTGAAACATTGTGTTTTTCCAATGATTTGTGGCTCCGGAGGGTCGAAGAGTAGGCTCGCTAAAGCGGCGGTTGCGGAGCCAGCTGGCCAGATGAGAGATGAAAAATCGCACGCCGTTGTGGCGCGAAGCACATTTCCAAGTGAAAATGTACAAAGCACACCATTGTCCGACCACTTTTGGAAGTTCAGATGTCGAAAAAGTGCACGCCGTTCTGGCGCGAAGCACATTTCGAAGTCAAAATGTACAAAACACCTCAGCGTCGGAGCACTTTTGGAAGTTGAGCTGTCCAAAAAGTGCACGCTGTTGTGGCGCGAAGCACATTTCCAAGTCAAAATGTACAAAACACACCATGGTCGGACCACTTTTGGAAGTTGAGCTGTCGAAAAAGTGCACGCCGTTGTGGCGCGAAGCACATTTCTAAGTCAAAATGTTAAAAACACTAGGGGTTCGGACCACTTTTGGAAGTTCAGATGTCGAAAAAGTGCACGCCGTTCTGGCGCGAAGTACATTTCGAAGTCAAAATGTTAAAAACACAAGGGGTTCGGACCACTTTTGGAGGTTCAGATGTCGCTTCGCTTCACTACACTACATTGCACTACACTACACTACATTCCACTACACTACACTACACTACATTACACTACACTCAACTACACTACGCTACATTACACAAAACTACACTACACTACACTCCCTTCCACTACACTTCACTACATTACACTACACTACACGCCACAACACTACAACTAAAACTGCACAACTACACTCCACTACACTAAATTACACTACACTACACTACCTTCCACTACACTCCACTACAGTACAATACACTACACTACATTACCTTCCACTACACTTCACTACATTACACTACACTACACTCCACTACACTACAACTACACCTACGACTACACAACTACACTCCACTACACTCCACTACACTAAATTACACTACATTACACTACACTCCACTACACTACACTACATTACACTACCCTACGTTACACTGAATGACACTGCACCACAGATAGACAGGTAGACAGATAGACAGACAGACAGATAGATAGATAGATAGACAGATAGACAGGTAGACAGCTAGACAGATAGACAGATGAAAGAGAGAGATTGAGAGATTAAGAGATTGAGAGAGAGAGAGAGATATATATATATATAGATAGATAGATAGATAGGTAGATAGGTAGATAGATAGATAGGTAATTAGATGAAAGAGAGAGAGAGAGATAGATAGATAGATAGATAGATAAATAGATAAATAGATAGATACATACATAGAAGATAGATAGGTAGGTAGGTAGATAGTCAGAGAAAGAGAGAGAAAGAGAGGAGACCTCAAGCACCTTTCGGTCCATCAGTGGATTCGCTCTGCCATCCCTGATTCACAACAACCAATCTCTCCTATAGGTTTCCTATTTTTGAAACTTCCGCCACCGCCTTGTGCGGTACTACTGGTATATGGTAGGTACCTCCAATTTAGGATCCTGAAATTCCCATTGAATGTATCATAAACCCATTCGTGAAATTGGAGCCATGTCTACCAACTTAGCCAGAGGCGATTCCGAACTGCGGCACCACCTGGTAGTCATGGTTGTTCATTCCCCTGATTATGTTATTTATATATACATAGATATTGGTTTTGACCCATCCCAAGATAGATATTTTTATGGGTCCTCAACATACCAATAGTATAGGGTGTATCTGTATCTCGCTATTAAATGGCATGAATCCATAGGCATTTAGCCTTTTTCTTCAGAACTGTTGATTGAACAAAGGAGCTTAACTATCTATTAGCAGGACATTTTAATACATTTTATCTGGTTCCTCTGAAAAGCATGAAAGTCAGTTGGGATGATGAAATTCCCAATATATGGAAAAATAAAATTCATGTTCCAAACCACCAACTAGACAACTATATGGATAGTTAGTGACTATTTGGTGACTATTATTACAATCACTGTTGAATCATATAACCATTGTTAATAGGTAAATCAACTATAAATGGGCCATGTTCAACAGTTATGTTAGTTTACCAGAGGATATGTTATCTTGGGGTCACATTACTCACCACCCCTTCCGAAGTGTCCTTGCCAGCCCACAGCTTTCCATATCCGTGGGTTGGGATGAAGTTCTCGCTGGGAGAAACCTGTGCCGCGCTCCGCCCCATTGCAGTAAGGAACTTAGGGACATACTATGAGTAGCGGGCGGCTTATGTGAAGCATATGTATATATATATATGTATACATATATATATATATATGTATATAATGTGTATATATATATATAAATGTGTATATATATAAATATATATATATCTGTATATATTATATATATATATGTATATACGTATATATATATATATATATGTGTGTGTGTGACTGTGTGTGTGTGTTAGTAATTACACTGTATTACATTGCAATTGCAATGATGCAGCAGCAGCAGGTGCAGGCAGAGTCTGCCAGCAGAACCCAGCAGCAGGCAGACCCTGAACATGATGATGTTCAATGGGCACGCCTCTCACCACATTCTGTGGAGAATGGCATCACCATAAAGAATGCAATCAATACCATATAGGGTTAAGTAGAATCATGTCAACAAAACACTGTGCATATGTGATGAAACAGTATTTGAATCAATAAAATAGATAACTAACTATCAAAATCTATCCGAAACACTGCGCGCACGCAGGTGTGATATGACTTCAGGTCACTGGATACGACTTAAGCCTAGCGCTAGTATGTGGAATCATTGCAAGTTAGTACACGCCGATGCTCAGAAACGTATCAAAGTTTTAAAGTAAAAAACAGCTTGAAACCACTGACTCACTCACACATCACCCCAGCAGTGTTCTCACCCAACACAAGATCCGTGCTGCCAGGATGCATCAATGACAATACCACAAAGCGCAATCAGCATAGGACGCCTCAGGGGCGTTCCGTAAAGGTCCAGTATGGTCCAGAAATCCACTCACAACTGAGAAGCAGATTCATGATTTACCAAGGGCTTGTTAGCCACCAACAACTGAGAACCATAGATGTAACAAGTGCGATCCTGTCTCCCCACAGGACATGATCTAAAAAGAAAGGAGTTTTTGAAGTCAGGCAAAAATCACATGTCTGAACAATACAAAGAAAATCCACCAATAAACGAGGCAGCATAATACAGCATAAGTATTATTAATTTGACAGAAAAGAACAGGTTAATTGCACAACCAATATTGCAAAATGCATGTTCAAAAATGGGGTTTATCATCATTTAATCACAAAAACATAAAACAAAAAAAATGACAATCAACCTTTTGACACGCCGCAGCGCCATGGCTCCCATGGCTTTTTGCGCTGAGAAACTCTTTGCCATTCCACCTTTTCAGCGTCTCCAAAGAAAAGTGTCCCTCTTCTTTCTTGAGTTCCTTAAGTGCCGCTTGCGTCAACGGCTGCGAAAAATGGAGGATGGAACCGATGGAAGGCAACCAATCTGAACCCAAAGAGATGCTGCTGTGGAAAAAAGATGGTTTTTGGTCGTGTGAAATACAAGACTTTTTTATGTTATATTTATAATATGAAAACATGCGGCATATGTTATAACATGTTATAAATACATTCCATAATATAGTGGCATATGTTATGTCATCATATTTTTTATGGAATGTCAACCATTTTTTCCGCCACAGCAGGCTTTGGGTCGAACATATGGGCGTTGCCCGAGATTGGGGTTGAACCATGTGGGTTTCCGACTCGTAAAGTCAACTGCTTCAAACTTCGTCAAAATCTAAGTGATAGAAAATCGCCTGAACACATGAATTTCTGGTTGGTGGTTTCACCCCCTCCGAAAAAAATAAGTCAGTTGGCGGGATGAATAATCCCAATATATGGAAAAATAAAAAATGTTCCAAACCACCAACCAGATTTCCTGTAAATATTGTAAATTGCTGAGGTCAAGCCAGCATATTCTGATGATTTCGCCCGAGTTTATCCATTCAGGGATCATCCCAATCGCATCCATCGCCCATCGGTTGCCTCTTCAAAAGCAGCCGTGAACTGAGTGCCTGGACGGGAAAACACCAAGCGACTGGGAAATAGCGATCCTGGCCTTCACGGCCTTATTGTGGATACCTGGTGTCAACTATGGCCTGATGGCCTGCTGGAAAATCCACCAGCAATATGTGTTTTCGCCACTCAAACCTCCATTTGGTTCAGGATTTTGCCAGGCATTGTATCTGAAATATAGATATCATATATATATATATTCTGACATTCTGTCTGTCTATCTGGTATTCTTTCTGGCATATATTTTGACATTCCATCTGGCATTCTATTAAAGCCTGGCATCTAGGTCTATTGACCCCCCAGTCACGAGGGCAGGAGAATCAAAGAAGAAAAAGCAGGAAAAAACAAGGGATACCATTTGTCTATTTGTTACATAGCCATGGAAAGATCCACCATTTTTAATAGGTAAACCATCCATTTCTATGGGCCATCTATACCATGGCTATGTAACAAATAACCAGAGGATATTTATTTTTGCTCAAAGTCCTGATAAATCGGTTGTAAAAAAACGGTCCCTTTTGGGGTAAAGGTACGCATTTTTGGTGGCAATACAGGAAAACCAGGAAATCAAACAGCTCCGCTGGGCAGAAGTCAAGGAAATTTAAAATTGGATAAACTTGGATAACATTGGATTACTCCCGTGAAATCTAACCTGGGCCAAAAAAAAAAAAAAAATATCCCGCTACGTTAGCGTTCGGGATTTCCCGTTGAACAGCGCTAACATAGCAGCTGAAATCTTGCATGTTCTAACATAGCAGCTGAAATCTTGCATGTTCATGGGGTGATTTTGATACTAACCTAACCCCTGCCGCGCCTCCATCAGCACAAATTCCCAAAAGTGTCAAGTTAGTGTTCGTGCTGTGTTTGGGAACATGGCGAATACTCCAAAGCTGGAACCACCAAATGGAAGGTGCTATGTTTGACTGGCACAACTGTTTTTGCATATCTTCCTGCGGCTCACTCTTGCTGGACCCAAAAAAGCTTCAAAACGAACAATTTGACATAATAGATTGAATAAGGAAAAAACTCCTGGTCGATGTTGCCAATCTGGCTCCTTGCTGCCATGATGATTATGATGTACTATTGGATGTTTTGGGAACCCTGGGCAAATGCTATGTTAGCAATCCTGTTGCCAAAACTCTGGTTTGGATTGAAAATCATGACTGGCACAACTGTTTTTGCATGTCTTCCTGGGGCTCACCCTTACTGGACCCAAAAAAGCTTCAAAACGAACAGTTCTACATAATAGATTGAATAAGGGAAAAAACTCCTGGTCGATGTTGCCAATCTGGCTCCTTGCCATGATGATTATGATGTACTATTGGATGTTTTGGGAACCCTGGGCAAATGCTATGTTAGCAATCCTGTTGCCAAAACTCTGGTTTGGATTGAAAATCATGACTGGCACAACTGTTTTTGCATGTCTTCCTGGGGCTCACCCTTACTGGACCCAAAAAAGCTTCAAAACGAAGAGTTTTCCATAATAGATTGAATAAGGAAAAAACCCTGGTCGATGTTGCCAATCTGGCTACTTGCTGCCATGATGATTATGATGTACTATTGGAGGTTTTGGGAACCCTGGGCAAATGCTATCTTAGCAATCCTGTTGCCAAAACTCTGGTTTGGATTGAAAATCATGACTGGCACAACTGTTTTTGCATGTCTTCCTGGGGCTCACCCTTACTGGACCCAAAAAAGCTTCAAAACGAACAGTTTTACATAATAGATTGAATAAGGAGAAAACTCCTGATCGATGTTGCCAATCCGGCTCCTTGCTGCCATGATGATTATGATGTACTATTGGAGGTTTTGGGAACCCTGGGCAAATGCTATGTTAGCAATCCTGTTGCCAAAACTCTGGTTTGGATTGAAAATCATGACTGGCAAAACTGTTTTTGCATGTCTTCCTGGGGGACCCAAAAAAGCTTCAAAACGAACAGTTTTACATAATAGATTGAATAAGGAAAAATCTCCTGGTCGATGTTGCCAATCTGGCTCCTTGCTGCCATGATGATTATGATGTACTATTGGAGGTTTTGGGAACCCTGGGCAAATGCTATGTTAGCAATCCTGTTGCCAAAACTCTGGTTTGGATTGAAAATCATGACTGGCACAACTGTTTTTGCATGTCTTCCTGGGGCTCACCCTTACTGGACCCAAAAAAGCTTCAAAACGAACAGTTTTACATAATAGATTGAATAAGGAAAAAAACTCCTGGTCGATGTTGCCAATCTGGCTCCTTGCTGCCATGATGATTATGATGTACTATTGGAGGTTTTGGGAACCCTGGGCAAATGCTATGTTAGCAATCCTGTTGCCAAAACTCTGGTTTGGATTGAAAATCATGACTGGCACAACTGTTTTTGCATGTCTTCCTGGGGCTCACCCTTACTGGACCCAAAAAAGCTTCAAAACGAACAGTTTTACATAATAGATTGAATAAGGAAAAAACTCCTGGTCGATGTTGCCAATCTGGCTCCTTGCTGCCATGATGATTATGATGTACTATTGGAGGTTTTGGGAACCCTGGGCAAATGCTATGTTAGCAATCCTGTTGCCAAAACTCTGGTTTGGATTGAAAATCATGACTGGCACAACTGTTTTTGCATGTCTTCCTGGGGCTCACCCTTACTGGACCCAAAAAAGCTTCAAAACGAACAGTTTTACATAATAGATTGAATAAGGAAAAACTCCTGGTCGATGTTGCCAATCTGGCTCCTTGCTGCCATGATGATTATGATGTACTATTGGAGGTTTTGGGAACCCTGGGCAAATGCTATGTTAGCAATCCTGTTGCCAAAACTTTGGTTTGGATTGAAAATCATGACTGGCACAACTGTTTTTGCATGTCTTCCTGGGGCTCACCCTTACTGGACCCAACAAAGCTTCAAAACGAATAATTTTACATAATAGATTGAATAAGAAAAAAACTCCTGGTCGATGTTGCCAATCTGGCTCCTTGCTGCCATGATGATTATCATGTACTATTGGAGGTTTTGGGAACCCTGGGCAAATGCTATGTTAGCAATCCTGTTGCCAAAACTCTGGTTTGGATTGAAAATCATGACTGGCACAACTGTTTTTGCATGTCTTCCTGGGGCTCACCCTTACTGGACCCAAAAAAGCTTCAAAAGGATTGAATAAGGAAAAAACTCCTGGTCGATGTTGCCAATCTGGCTCCTTGCTGCCATGATGATTATGATGTACTATTGGAGGTTTTGGGAACCCTGGGCAAATGCTATGTTAGCAATCCTGTTGCCAAAACTCTGGTTTGGATTGAAAATCATGACTGGCACAACTGTTTTTGCATGTCTTCCTGGGGCTCACCCTTACTGGACCCAAAAAAGCTTCAAAACGAACAGTTTTACATAATAGATTGAATAAGGAAAAAACTCCTGGTCGATGTTGCCAATCTGGCTCCTTGCTGCCATGATGATTATGATGTACTATTGGAGGTTTTGGGAACCCTGGGCAAATGCTATGTTAGCAATCCTGTTGCCAAAACTCTGGTTTGGATCGAAAATCATGACTGGCACAACTGTTTTTGCATGTCTTCCTGGGGCTCACCCTTACTGGACCCAAAAAAGCTTCAAAACGAACAGTTTTACATAATAGATTGAATAAGAAAAAAAACTCCTGGTCGATGTTGCCAATCTGGCTCCTTGCCATGATGATTATGATGTACTATTGGATGTTTTGGGAACCCTTGGCAAATGCTATGTTAGCAATCCTGTTGCCAAAACTCTGTTGAAAATCATGACTGGCACAACTGTTTTTGCATGTCTTCCTGGGGCTCACCCTCACTGGACCCAAAAAAGCTTCAAAACGAACAGTTTTACATAATAGATTGAATAAGGAAAAAACTCCTGGTCGATGTTGCACATCTGGCTCCTTGCTGCCATGATGATTTTGATGTACTATTGGAGGTTTTGGGAACCCTGGGCAAATGCTATCTTAGCAATCCTGTTGCCAAAACTCTGGTTTGGATTGAAAATCATGACTGGCACAACTGTTTTTGCATGTCTTCCTGGGGCTCACCCTTACTGGACCCAAAAAAGCTTCAAAACGAACAGTTTTACATAATAGATTGAATAAGGAAAAAACTCCTGGTCGATGTTGCCAATCTGGCTCCTTGCTGCCATGATGATTATGATGTACTATTGGAGGTTTTGGGAACCCTGGGCAAATGCTATGTTAGCAATCCTGTTGCCAAAACTCTGGTTTGGATTGAAAATCATGACTGGCACAACTGTTTTTGCATGTCTTCCTGGGGCTCACCCTTACTGGACCCAAAAAAGCTTCAAAACGAATAATTTTACATAATAGATTGAAGAAGGAAAAATCTCCTGGTCGATGTTGCCAATCTGGCTCCTTGCTGCCATGATGATTATGATGTACTATTGGAGGTTTTGGGAACCCTGGGCAAATGCTATGTTAGCAATCCTGTTGCCAAAACTCTGGTTTGGATTGAAAATGACTGGCACAACTGTTTTTGCATGTCTTCCCGGGGCTCACCCTTACTGGACCCAAAAAAGCTTCAAAACGAACAGTTTTACATAATAGATTGAATAAGGAAAAAAACTCCTGGTCGATGTTGCCAATCTGGCTCCTTGCTGCCATGATGATTATGATGTACTATTGGAGGTTTTGGGAACCCTGGGCAAATGCTATGTTAGCAATCCTGTTGCCAAAACTCTGTTGAAAATCATGACTGGCACAACTGTTTTTGCATGTCTTCCTGGGACTCACCCGCACTGGACCCAAAAAAGCTTCAAAACGAACAGTTTTACATAATAGATTGAATAAGGAAAAAACTCCTGGTCGATGTTGCCAATCTGGCTCCTTGCTGCCATGATGATTATGATGTACTATTGGAGGTTTTGGGAACCCTGGGCAAATGCTATGTTAGCAATCCTGTTGCCAAAACTCTGGTTTGGATTGAAAATCATGACTGGCACAACTGTTTTTGCATGTCTTCCTGGGGCTCACCCTTACTGGACCCAAAAAAGCTTCAAAACGAACAGTTTTACGTAATAGATTGAATAAGGAAAAAACTCCTGGTCGATGTTGCCAATCTGGCTCCTTGCTGCCATGATGATTATGATGTACTATTGGAGGTTTTGGGAACCCTGGGCAAATGCTATCTTAGCAATCCTGTTGCCAAAACTCTGGTTTGGATTGAAAATCATGACTGGCACAACTGTTTTTGCATGTCTTCCTGGGGCTCACCCTTACTGGACCCAAAAAAGCTTCAAAACGAACAGTTTTACATAATAGATTGAATAAGGAAAAAACTCATGGTCGATGTTGCCAATCTGGTTCCTTGCTGCCATGGTGATTATGATGTACTATTGGAGGTTTTGGGAACCCTGGGCAAATGCTATGTTAGCAATCCTGTTGCCAAAACTCTGGTTTGGATTGAAAATCATGACTGGCACAACTGTTTTTGCATGTCTTCCTGGGGCTCACCCTTACTGGACCCAAAAAAGCTTCAAAACGAACAATTTTACATAATGGATTGAAGAAGGAAAAATCTCCTGGTCGATGTTGCCAATCTGGCTCCTTGCTGCTCCTTGCTGCTGCGTGCTGCTGCTTACCTGCTGCTTACCTGCTGCTGCTCACCTGCTGCTCACCCCGACTCATTGCATTGGGATCACCACCCCGGGGAGATACACAGGGGAAACAAAAAACTAACATAGCATTTCTGCCTTCCAGGATTCTAGCTAGGTCAGTCTCTTTCAGGTGCCAGGTTAGCACCCATCGCAGGTTTTTGATTTCCATTTCCTGGGGAATGCACAAATTATTCCCTCAACGGCGCCGGATGCTATGTTTATGAGTTGGTGCCCAACGGGCCCAAAATCTACCTATCTCCTTTTCCCCAGGCCGCACAACGGTACCGGATGCTATGTTAATGAGCCGGTGCCAGAGCTGATCTATGCTTTGTTAAATTTCTGGGGTGTAACTTTGGATAAAAATTGGTTAAATTTGGATAAATTTGCTTAAAATAAATTAACTCCCTATTATTTTCTGATAATGTTTGAAGGATTTGAAGTTTCAGGTGGTCAAATTAATCCAGATTTGTTGGATTTTTAGTTACCCTCTATATTTTCCTGTAGATTTTTTCCTTGAGAGAAGGCGGAGGCGGAGGCGAAGATGAGGACAGGAGGCCCCCAGTTAGCTAAAACACCCCCGGTGACTCATCATAACTGGCCATGGTTGTATAAAAATCCACTGACCCATGGTGCCCCCCAGACATAGCGTTGTTTATAAGATTTATAAGTAAGTCCATATAAAATCATAATTATAATGTATAAATTAATTAAATGTGTATATATATATATATTACGATTATATATATATGTGTGTGTGCAGTTGAAAGTTTTTTCTCCATAAACCAACTCAATTATAATATGGTGGTCCTCTTTGTATGAACCATTTACTAATTTGGTTTTGTCTGAAAGTAGGGTACCCACACATGTGATTGTTTATCATGAGTTTCTCTATTAGTTCAAAGTTCACCACCATTTTGGGGTATCCCCATGTTCTGAAAAAAAACATAAATTATATAAATATCAATATGTATGATATTTTGATTCTTAAACCAGATTAACTAAATTGTGGTTTCTGACTGTGGAACCCATGTCTGATGGTTAAACCACCATCTTTTCACAACGTGAAATGAGCTCCAGCCTTGAGGCCAGTCGTCATCCGCAGGCCTCAGAAATGACTTGGCAGAAATGATTTGGGGTTTACTGTAAGTTACCATCTGGTTATTTGTTACATAGCCATGGAAAATCAACATTTTTAATAGGTAAACCATCTATTTCTATGGGCCATTTTCCATGGCTATGTAACAAATAAACAGAGGGTAAGTGATTTGTACCTTCCGTTTGGACGATTTTTAGATCCATAGTGATCTTTTACCAGAAGATGGCGAATTCTATGGAGATGGGAGCAAGAGGTCAACCGCCTCCTGATCAAATGGAGGAAAGTATGTCAAATGATCATGAATCTGTATCTTTGTTTTGAATACCCTTGGATGTCCATATTGCTTTGCAAGGTTTGGTAAGAAGGTCCAAGTTTTCATAGCGGTCAAGGGGGAATGAACATTCCAAACTACTCATTTACTAGCAGATTTGGTTTGAGTCAGATTTCGATCCAGAACCAGATATTGTGTGTGTGCGTGCTCTGTACATGTCAAGGGAATGCCGTGCATCTTGGCTTGTGGTCTTGCCCTCCGCCCATCCAAAGAAAAAAGATAGCTTCATCTAGCTCCAAAACCAGTCTACATTAAATTATATATATAATAATAATTAGAGCCAGCAAAAACGCTGGTTACGGTTTGTCGAAAGGAACCAACATTAACATGCAGTTAAGCACCACAAATGGGAGCCAAAAGGTGGTGCACAGCACTTGTCACATAAAGCCAACCATCTATGAAGATGTTTACCAATCCTGCTAATTGGCAGTCATAAAATCTCATAAACCACCCTCTGGTAATTTAACATAGCTATTGAAAATGGTCATTTATAGTGGATTTACCCATTGAAAATGGTGATTTTCCATGGCTATGTTAGTTTACCAGAGGGCAACTTAGCCAAACAAAAACATCTCATAAATCCCAAGGGTTTCCTGGTTAAATCACCAACTACCGAACTGGGGCACCACCAAAGCTGCTGCTGAAACTGGTGCAGAAAACCCCGAGGGACGGACGCCGAAGGTGTGGCACCTCAGGTGGGCTCGAAAGCTGTTCACAGTAATCCAATGAAAACACAAAAAAACATATGTTTTAGCTATAATATGTTATAAGTATGTATGGCATACAATAAATAGCTGATTTACCGAACTCAAAAATTGTGATTTTCCATGGCTATGTTAGTTTACCAGAGGGTAAATAGCTCCAACAGTTGGCGAAACATACTGTGGATGGAAGAAATCCTGCACCAGTGGGTAGGTGTTTTTCCCATTATTTGAAGGGTTTCAACCGTCCAAGGTGATGCAGGATTTCTTCCATCCGCGGTATCACTGGAAATTTTAGGTGATCTTAGCCATAACTGTGAATAGGGCTATTTTGACGGGGAAAGGGATGGTGATATACGGTGATTTAGTAAGCAAGAAACAATGGTGAATCCATCGGTGATTTTTGTTATAGCTGGTTTTTACATGAACTGTTGGGCACTGTTGGGTCTATGGTGATGAAACAACCATAGTTAGATGGGTGGTAAGCCAACTTCAGCTTAGGGGGTACCCTTTTGTGGTTGGTTCCGCAATAACAACTGGAAGGTGAGCCCTTTGTGATAAGTTGGTTCCAGTTGCCTCAAATTGGGGTTTATGCTCACCCTATATGCTAGTTCCCCTTCACCTTATATTGTTCACAGTTTCCGCTAAGTTACAGCCATTTAGTTGGAGGTATTTATACAATGTGAGGCCCCCAAGATATAAGTTTGTTTATAAGCCTCAGTAACTATAGTTATAAATACCATAAACCATAGTTATTGGAGTTATAAACCAACTTAGCTATCTTGGGGGCCTCACATTGTAGTTATTTCATCCCATGACCATAACTGGCCCCCCGAGTCGCCGGCTGGCGCCGGCGCTCTTCGGTGCTGCGAAGCGCTCGTAGAGCCAGGACATCAGGCCCCGCCGCGCCTTCGGCGTGGCCGCATGCTGGGGACGCCAAAGGATAGCCAAGTTTGTAAGGCTGAAGATGTTTTATGGTAGATATAGGTAATAATAATAATCATCATAATCATCATAATCATAATAGTAATAATAATAAAAATAAATATTATTACTGCATTGTTTTGCTTTTTTTTTTCGGATATATATATATATAAAACACAAGTGTATTCCTTTTTGTTTGATTTTGGTGGTAATGAGGGTATAACCAACAATACTGGATAATGAATGGATTTCTTATTGCTCCCTTACGCAATGCCGTTGTAACAGCAACTTCCATGCACCCGAGACGCCTAAAAGTTGGAAACCTCGATTTTTTTGGGGGAAAACATCATTGATACGAAATGATGCTGTGATTGATATGCAAATGAATTTGACCTATACGGAATACTCTAGATATCTATAGATACTGATGACATCAATGATTGTTACTATAAATATCAGAGAAGGTAAAGTATCATAGTCAGTAAGCATGATTTGATATAGTACCATTTATCCTGGAAATGCGTTTCTATGCCGAACCTGGTGATCAATTGAACCTGTTCCGCATCTTCTTGGGGGTTGCTAAACCGGACAGGCCTGACAAACCACCCTCAATTGGTTTGGTCTTCCTGTAGATTTGCCCCTACACCAATTCTGAACAAACAACTAACTGTCAATGATACAAGAATCATATACTCTGCTAGTATGATACATTGACCTGCACAAGCTGGTGACCCCCCCCCCAGTTCTAAGTTGCACTGTGAACCATCGTAACTATAGATATAACATGATATAACTACGTGATACCAGAAACCTTGTGAGTTTTTGCAGTTACCTACACCAACTTAGCTAACTATGGAGCACCACCTCGTAACATCGTACATGTTTGGGATAAATGCTAGTGACATCCAGCAAATAGCTGGAGCTGGCCACGGTAAGCGTTGATCTTGAAGGATTCAATGGATATTTTTGGACACGTACAAGAAGGTACCTAGACTCCCCAAATACCCATCAAAGTGGGTTTTTCTATACATTAGTACCACATATATATATATATATATTGTATTTAATTATTATACATTGTATTTATAATATATATATATATATGTATATATATATATATATTGTATTTATATAATATATATATACACTGTATTTATTATATATAGTGTATTTATTGTATATATATATATATATATATTGTATTCATAATATATATATATATATACACATATACATTTCCACTTGGACCTTCAAATGATACCGTGATTCTTATGGCATCTTATGGCTACGTTGAAGGTCTAGAGCCACATCAGAGCCCGGTGGTAGCCATCAAGGGCTCCTCGATCTTTCCAATCTTGGTGATGTGTTGCAGGTTCCTGAGGCTGTCGAGCAATCTGTCTTCAAACGTTCAAGGCAACCAGCTCCAACTCATTTGCTGCTTGAGTTCACGAGCAGTATAAATATATATATATATATACATACATATACATTAACACATATAATTACATATATAATTACATATATAATTACATATTACACACACACCACACATATATATATATATATATTTATTATTATATATATTATACATAGAGCTATTCTTTATAGAGATCTCTTGTACTCTCAATTTTTTTCGAGCCCTGACCTGCAGAGACCCACCGTCGCCGAGGTACTTCTCCAAGGTCTCCGGGCTGTGAATTTCCACCCACTCTTCCTGGCCCGGGAGCCGAGTTGCGAGTCGACTCCACAGTTATGGCCATGGCCATTAGATGCCATGGCCATGTACTGGTTATTTCTATGGGATACAAGCTATAAATATCTATAAATGGGGTTTTCTTAGTACTTATAACATCTTATAACTGGTATTTCGGGCCATCACTGCAATGTCATCATGTGGAGAAAACGGAGAAAAAATAACGTTTGTAAAGAAAATAAAGAGAAGGGAAGACTGAAAATGAGATGTTGGATGATGTTGGCACATCTCAATTATTTCAGTTAGGCAATGTTTTTCCTGTAGAACTTGAGATGTGTGAGGAAGCTATGTTCGAGTGCCACTTCGTGTGTTATGTTCATGCTCTCATCCACGCAAAAGCCCAGCGTCGGTTGCATCTTTGCCCAAATACCTCAGGTAGGTGACATCAAAGGGCTAATGTGCGCGTGTCTGCGTATTTGGGGCGTACACCGGTGTACCTATAAAATGAGCATTAAATGGTATCAGTGATGATCAGTGATGATAACCCATAAGATTTTGCGGTGGACCGCTGGTTCCGCATTCACCCTTCTGAATGGTTTTTAATATCATAGTGATTGGGGTATTGAAAGCCTAATCATATATAACGTCTGGGGGGCTCGTCACTGTATCCAATATCAGTGCTGAGGTATTCATCAATGGGCCCTTCACATAGTGCCGTTCAATTTTGGTCTTCGCAATGGTGTATCATTCATATGCACAGATACTTATGTACTACATGAACGGTAATGTATGAGTATCGAAAAGGTTGATCCTTTCTCTTCGCACTCAACCCATTTCATCCCATCATTCTGGCCAAGGTACATGTCAATGGTATCAGTGCCTGGATAGACCCAGCATTCAACCACCACACACACATGTCTCCGATGAACACGACCAAAACCATGGCAGGCCCGAGGAGTAGGAACACATCATCCAATCATCCAATTGATTAATTCCTCATTGTTTCAGCCAAACTCCAAGAAGACAAGAGTCACTCATTGCTAAAAGACAACTGTGCACTGGTCATTTACCATCTGGTTATTTAACATAGCCATGGAAAATCACAATTTTTAATAGGTAAACCATCTATAAATGGGCCATTTTCCATGGCTATGTTAAATAACCAGAGGGTAAATCAAAGACATCTTGGATTTGCCGATCCGGAACTCCGAACATCGCCAAATCAAGGGACGAAACCGGGTTGATCCGGCTACCCAGCTACCAGCGGATGCAAAGCATCCTGCTTCCAGTTGAAAAAAAAACATATTAGGATTCCTATGACACCATGGAATATCTGTTTAAATATGTGTAAATGCCTCCAGCGGATGACACCTGCCTCCAGCGGATGACACCTGCCTCCTAAAACGTAAAGGGAAAACACTATTCCTTTTTAATATTTGCAAATATCTTATGGAAAGGTTCTGGGATGTCAACAAAAGCCATCTACCAAGTGCTGCAGGATTTCGCAACCATCCATAGTGACAGAACAACACAGCAACAATCCCAGCGATGAATGGGGAAATGGATGGAAATAGATGAAATATAAAACAATTATCGACAATTCCAAGAACATCATATTCTAATATATAGATATTCCAACAATCATAACACAACCAAAACAACATAATGTGGTTAAAACAACAAGAAACCATCCTCCAGTCATCACCATTCTTGTAGGTGGTATGGTTACCATTCCCAAATGGGTAGTTTCTGACATTGTTTTAACCACATTAAAACAACAACAATCCCAGCATTTGTTTATGTTGACATAGTTGTGTTATGATTGTAATCACCATTAGTTCTAACTATCATAATCCAGCAATATTTATCAACATAATAATCATCAACTATCACCAACAGTTATATCCGTCCGACTATCAACATAGCAATCACAACACAATTATGTTGATCTTGTATCACCATATAGTACTATTGTAGTTATACCACCCTCTGGTAAACTAACAGTTTGCTATTGAAAATTGCCCATAGAAATAGTGAGTTTTCCCATTAATAGCATGGTGGATCTTTCCAGTTCGTTATGTTAGCCCGTTTACCATAACTATAGAAAATCACAATGTTTAATAGGTAAACCATCTATAAATCACCATTATATAATATATCATTATATCACCACCAGAGGGTATATCCCATTAAGATCCCATTGAATCACTATAAATCCCGTTAAACCACTATTTGTAAACGTTTACCAGAGGGTACCATAACTACCATCCCAGCACTAACTTTCTTTCGATTCTCAACGCCTCCGGGGTGTATGGGGATGAACTTCGTCACATCCAAGACTTCACCGAAGAGGACCATCCAGGCATCGTCCTAAAAACCAACGCAACGGATCCATGGAAACCGTTGCCGGGAAAAACCGTGGAAAACAATGGACAAACTGTGGAAAAAAAACATGGAAAACCATGAAAACGATGGTGAAAACCAATCGGAAAACCAAACCAAAGACCATGATCAAATCACCATTTATTTTTTGGAAGACACTTGGACAATTGTACTTCATCGAATTTATTTGAACGTTCTTGGAAAACCATAGAAAACCGCCAGAAGGTTAACAGCGTGTCACCATCCGCCATGCTTCTGAATTCAACTGATGAAACCCCTGTATACATCATATGAGTGCTTTTTAAAATGAGGTGCCCCTTCAACCATTGGTTTGCCCGTTCAACAAAATGAACATCGCCATTGAAATTCAGGTGAATCCAAGGTCAATTCTCCATAAGTTGTTTCTCAAATTGCAGTAAATCCATGTAAGTCTTCCATGATTCACATTCTTCATTGTTTTCCAACATCCCCATGGTTTGCTGGAAAATCCACCAAAATCTATAGATGATTTCCCCAGCTATAAACAGCATTTCAAGCGGATTTTCAATTGCTAAAGGTTATCAATGCTGTTTTGATGGATTACCCTAAGTCTATGTCAACCCTATCTTGTTGATGATTCTCAATGATCCCACTATAGTTGGATTACTTCCCACTAAAACAGCATTTATAGATATTTAAAGTGGATTGTCATTTGCACTGTTTGATTACCAAAGACAACCAACACTGTTAAACTAGATAGTAATGGTTTAATCATAGTAATAATATAATTAACCTTTTAACCAACGGTGATTTAATAGTCCGATAGATATTCATAATCATCAACCACCAGCGTATGGGACACGGCTCCCGCCTTGGTGTTGTGCTTTTGGAGTTCCTCCACGGAGATGCTTCCGTCGGAGCCTCTTGAGCCTTCGCTTGACGTTCGGCCTGCGGCGGTGATAGCTACTCCCAAAAGTGATTCACAAAAATCGGTCTATACAGACATAATCATATTTGATCATATTTATATTTACGTATATTTACATATATATATAAATACGATATATACATATATATATATACACATTACATTACATTACATTACATTACATTACATTCAATACATTACATTACACTACACTACATTACATTCAATACATACATACATATGTAATTTGATGTGTGATGTAGGAGTACTGGAAATCAGGATTCAGCTGAGGGTCAAGATGGTCAAGGTAGACCCATTTTTATGGGGTGATGGTCAGCATGTTTGGATGACCCTGAAATTTGACTTGTGGCTTGATCTATATGGTCTCCAATCTGATTGGTGGTATACCTACCCATCTGAAAAAAAAAACTATGAAAGTCGGTTGGGATTATTATTCCCAATATATGGAAAAAATAAATCATGTTCCAAACCACCAACCAGCAATGACCAATGAAGATTGTTTGTCCAAATGCCCAATCTGGTTGGCATTACTAAGTGTTTGGATCCTGGACGTTCGCAAATGGCTTTGAAAGAGCATCCACTGGGCTATTTCATGCTATTTCTATCTTCATAACATTTCATAACTGGCATGAACTGCGGAACTGAGATATTACACTCTGGTAAGCTAACATAACTATGGAGAATCACCATTGTTCATGGGAAAACTCACTATAAATGGGAAACCAGGTCCACGCCCCTGGCCTGCAAGGTTGCCCATGGCGCCAACTTCGATCTAAAATTCGTCTCGCAAATTGCCCTTGCAAAACTTTGGTGGATCTAGATTGTGAACAAGGATTGTTTCTTTTTCACACATTATTCATCCTTGTTTTCTTTCCTCACGAGATCTTCTCCTCTCCTGTATTCAACACCTGAAGTGCTTCAGATTTGGACATCAAGGTCCTAGCTGTGACAATGGTCAGAGATGGTGACTGTTTCAAGGGTAATCTCGACAGTGTGAGACTGCGACGCGACAGTTCCATCAGTTCTGCCATCAGTGAATCAGTTCTGAACTGCAAATGGCTAACATTTCCAGGGAATCATGGTGCCTAATTGGCTTATCTCGATAGTGGCGTGCATCTAGAATAAGCCTACAAACACACCTAACCGTTTCATTGATTATGGGCAAATCCTGGGCAGCAGCAAGTATGTTCAATTTGGTCTTTATTGTATCATACTAAGTATATATACATATACAGCACCCGACAGAATTATGGAAAAAAAAACGTTTCAATTTACAGGCGCCGCCTGTCTATGATAGAAAAGTTACGAACCTTTTTTTTTCCATAATTATTTTTTCCATAATTATTTTTTTTCCATAATTCTGTCGGTGACTGTATGTCCATCGATTCGCAATTTGAATGCATTTTAAGGGGGAATATGGAATTATAGAAAATATGTGTCTAAAGATCTGGTATATGCCCCTAAGTCTTCCATTGATATACATAATATCATGTGATGTTCGCAATTTGAATGCATTTTAAGGGGGAATATTGAATTATAGAAAATATGTGTCTAAAGATCTGGTATATGCCCCTAAAGTCTGCCATTGATATACATAATATCATGTGATGTTCGCAATTTGAATGCATTTTAAGGGGGAATATTGAAAATATGTGTCTAAAGATCTGGTATATGCCCCTAAGCCTGCCAATAATTATGGAAAAAATAATTATGGAAAAAATAATTATGGAAAACAATAATTATGGAAAAACCGGTCAATCTGCCCTAGCCCCCTGATTTTACAGGAAAAATCAATTATGGAAATAATGGCCACCTCCAAGAATTATGGAAAAAAAAAAGGTTCGGATCACTTCCGGGATATTTTGAACCCTTATGGGGAAAAACCTAATTATGGAAAAATCGGACGCAGGCGCCGCCTGTCTAAGTTGAACGTTTTTTTTTTCCATAATTCTGTCGGTTACCATACACACCATTAACTATAGATATATCTACTGTAAAAACGGTGTTTGTTGATTTATATACCCCATGAATCGTATTTTGATACATCTAATTCATCTAATCATCTGGTACTGTGAATTCTGATTAAGCTACACATGTTGCATACCGGGGGGCACCACCTTCTAGGTATGATTGTCAGATTGCCGAAACCTTTGCCGTGAAAACACCCTTCATGCTGAAGCAATACAATAAATAGCATGCTCATCAAAAAACATGTTTTCCCCATGATTGCTATATCGATCTATGTATATATATATATATATATCGATCTATGTATATATATATATATGTATATATATATATATACATATGTAAATAAATACATATATATATATGTGTGGTGGCTTATATATAATAATATATATATATATGTGGCGGCTTATATATATAATGTATATATATATATATATATATATCGTATACCCCCACCTTCGCAAAAAAAAAGAAAAAACAACATCTCCCATCACAGGCCAAGCCCCCAGCGCACTCTCTGGGCACCCCACCCTCTGTCCAGCGCAATGGCTCGTGAAGGCGAAAGTGCCGCAGCTGCTTCTTGGTGTCCTGACTTGGATGTGCGGGACCCATCAGGCAATATCAACCTTGTGATGCAAATTCAGCTTTCCTAAGTCACGGGGGTACCCCCCAGTTATCTTCCATCATCAACCATCCAATTATTCACAAATGGTTGTTGTTACTATTCTTGATCTTACAATATAAATCAACAAACAAACACAAAAGGGCACGCAATTATTGGCAATACCACAAATATGTCGTTGTTGTCCATCCAGATTGGACGTGCACCCCACTTGCAATGCGGCTAACAACCAAGGCACAATCCAATTGTATATGTATTTATAAATTGGAGAAAATGAGGTGATCTAATTCTATTAAGCGTTTTATAATTGTACTGACAATTAAATAATATACAACCCCTATGGATCCAAATACATCCTTCTCGAAGGGACAAATCACGACCCAAATCAATACCCACCATACTTCAATAGGAGCTATGGCTGGATCCATGAGGTATAATGCATTATACAGCAATCGGGAAGTTAACAATGTCAGCTAAAAAATAGATTCCTTTTTATGGGTGGTATTAACATCCAATTCAATGGGTGGTTTGTGACACTGCTTTACTAACATTCACTGGGCTGTACAACCACATCCAACCAGACAGAACAACAGTTTCCTGTCCTGCAGTACCGGAAGGGCACGTAGCAGGAAGCCCTGCCCACTGCCTTCGTAACCTTGGTTGGGTGGCTTCATAGGTGCGACAAAGTGCAACCCCGGACCTATCCGAATCGTTCCATGCGAATCTCATGATTTTTGGTGTTGTGGTTACCTATCTGATAGGTAACTGGAAGATGAGGAAATTGCATAATGATCTGCAATCCCTGTAACAGAATATGTCTACTTGCGATGAATCCTCTTCATTTTCAGGATAAATAAATTAAAAACATCCAAAAACATCACTGATTTTCCCAACGATCTATAGGTGAAAGGACCCAGATCCAATGTTTCTTGGTGGCGTCCACCTTTTGCCTTAAGTTGTGGCCCTTCACAGTTGTGGCCATGGGATGAAATATGATGAAATAACTGCTGCAATTTCTTGGTGAACCAACGGCCTAACATTCTTTCGTTTTTCATGTTAAGTGCTTCTTTTCGATTCTCTCCTCAATAACATTCCAGAAAAAAACATTCCATATGTGACCTCCTACAGCTATGGTTCAACTAACACTTATAAATGGGATGAACTAACTCCTAAAACTAGTTGATTATTATATATTTTTTTTGTATATATATATATTATATATAATATATATAATATATATATATATATTATATTATATAATAACATATAATAATATATATATAATATATATATATATAATATATATATAATGAAACAATCCCATTGATGATATAATGAAACAGTTGGGCCATAGGCCATAAGCCATAGGGCCTTCATGGTCCCACGCCGACCTGTCGGACCTGTCGTTTTTCGAAACTTCGCCCAGCCACCATCCAGGGTGGTCGCGAGAATCACCCGTTTGCCCGTCCGCAGCAGCTGCGTGGCTTCCGCCACCGGAAGGCCGGCCGCCTCGTCCACGAATAAATACCTGGCACCCGTTGACCCGTTGGGAGAGCCGGGAAAAAAACGTGGTGATTCCAGCAGCAAACTGCAGCAAAGAAATTGGATTGAAGTCAACTCGGAAACACAATTTGAAGTTGATTTAGCTCGGAAATAAAATTGGGATTGCGAAGATTTATGAACCCAACCAGTTGATGAGAAAAAACACAAGAGCACAGGGACGGACATGAGAATCAACTCATTTGAAACAACGAAAGCCCATCGAAAGAGACAGGAAATGAATCACCAGCAGCAACTATGACCTGGAGTTTAGGCAAACAAATTTTCCGTTGGATTTGTCACGCCATAAGAAAAACCAATATATTAAAAAAAATGAACTATATATATATAAACGTATTATACTGACTATTAAGATTGATATTAACTATCGATATTACCATATTAACATTAGACATGGCCATTTTCGGCATCACATGACCATTTTCCTTGGAGTATCTCCCATTGTTTAAGGAGAAACCCAAATGGGGATGGATCAAGACATGATACATATAGTATATGTTTAAGTTAAAACATACTATTTTTATCATCATTATATCATCACATCATTCAAATTACAATTCTATTATAAATTCTATATATACATCATATACCTGGGAGGGATGAACATGGGGCTTTCAGGCCAGTTCCATCCCTTGACAAATGCCCAGTGACTGGCAGCTCTTTAGCGCCTCTCGTTCTTTGCCTCCACGAGTCGGCGTTTTGGAGCGCTTCGCTGTCCCGCTGCCCAAAAATATCTTTTGCTATCTGGGGTCTATGCCTATGCTAGCATAATTGGTTTGTAAACCCCACTATGGAAATATATGGAGACGATATGTGGAGATATCTAGCATAAATCCTAGTTGACCAACTGAGAAACCAATTTAGCACCTTGAATGGCTTGCTGCCAAACATTGCCAAACTAATGAGGATGCGACTGGGTAGAATAGAGGTGCCACGTCGCCAAGTTTAATGCGCAAAACGCTGTCTTGACGATCTCGACAAGGTGGTGTTGCAGGTGGGTTTACAAGTAGGTTGATCAGCATTTATAAGTATTTATATTTATATGTTAATGTATCTGATGGGGTATCCCCAAGTCAGCATGGGTGTCAATATTAAGCCATGGCAGCCATGGTCGCCTAAGAGGTCGCCAACAGCAACGAATTGCAAATGTCCAGCCGCAATCTGCAGCAATCCGCGTGTCTTTCTCACCACCTG